TGGATTATACTGGTTTACACTGGTTTAGACTGGTTTATACTGGTTTAGACTGGTTTATACTGGTTTACACTGGTTTAGACTGGTTTATACTGGTTTATACTGGTTTACACTGGTTTACACTGGTTTAGACTGGTTTAGACTGGTTTATACTGGTTTACACTGATTTATACTGGATTATACTGGTTTATACTGGTTTAGACTGATTTACACTGGTTTACACTGGTTTATACTGGTTTACACTGAAAATTCCCTGATTGTTTCTTAGATACCTGAATCTAGATCAGATTTAAAGTGTAAATAAACTCCTAATTAACTAGTTTTTTGCAGACAAACTGTCTAAATATGTCATGAAAGATTCTACCTTTACGTTTCTGTGCAAATGTAACGTGCGCATTTTTGTGTAAATTTATTTCTTTCTGCAGCACTTTGACCTCAGATCGACTCATGGCTGCCCTCTATGGTCTGAACAGTGGTACTCCATCCGAATTTTCCTATTGGTTCCAACTCGGAGTCATGTTGGGTTTAAAAGCATCTCACTCAGCCACGCCCCCTGGTGGCTGAGTCTCCAAGTCTCCAATAACGCTGAAAAAAGTAGCTAAATGTGAAATTAAATTGGCAGCAGAGCTTCTTTCATCCACAACCTCACACTTAGCTCCGCCCTCTGTGCATCTTAGCCCCACCCACTAACGGAAATCATCTGATGGGAGGTGGGGCTTAGCTCCACTTTAAGCACTAAAACTAATTTCTTAGCATTTACAGAAAAAAAAGAACCAGCGTAAAAATCTAAAGAAAGTCTGGATTAGGACTTAAACTATTCACCTGATTAATCGTCATGCATCGATTATAGAAATAATGGTCAGATAATTTATTAATTGCTAACTGGAGTTTATTAAAAAAGGTCATTTGCTGAGGGAACAATGCAGTCAGAGTAGTAATTAAGAGAAGACTGTAATAGAAATAAACATTTTGTATTTAACATTAAAACAGACTGCTAGTTCACTGCATTTTCTGTAATAAAATGTTATTTTCTAATTAAGAAGGAATTATTAGTTTATTT